TACCATGAGAGTCCTCTCTCAAATGAGGGTGGGGTTGCCCTTATAGAGTAAAGGATAGAATAAGGGCAAGCCTCCCCTTTGCATATATTCAAGCTGGCTAACTAAGGCCCAAATATGATAAAATATGATATCAACAAACACACGGATGTTCTCGAGTCATTGTGTTGGAAAGATAGTAGCTAGGAAAAACCATGTATTGAATGGATGGTAAATTGCCAAACTTGGTAAGGACAACCAGACTATGCCACAAATGTTGGCAGACTAATCTTAAGTCTTGAGAAAGAAGTGTAAGTGTAAATCAAGCCAGTGCCTTATTTCAATTTGAGTTAATTGAGTAGCAACATACTCATCCAATCGCCCAGGAACCTAGAAACTGACTCAACCCCACATAAAGATCGCAGAACAGTATACTTAACTCAACTACCTAGATAGCCAAATATCTTTTTGACCTGATACCTGTCTGTATACAAGTCAACACCCCATATGGAACTCAAACTTGCATGGCAAAGCATGAAAACTGGAAGTAAGCAGGTTCAAACAGGGCTATAGCTTGGAAGTAATATGAGAAACCCAAATAGCTAACCTTTAGCAAGGTAAAATGAGAAACCCATGTAAAGCCATCCTTCATTCATATAGCACTAAACTAAATGATGCAATTACAAACACCAAACTAAGAAATGAAAAGAAATTGTATAATAGCTTCGAATAAAACTGAAGTATTTAAAAAGTGAGTCAAAATTAATTAATGAAGTGTGATATGTCAAAATTTCCTGTTCAAATAACTGACCTTTAGCATACATTGCTGTCCTTAGAAGTGGCATCCTATTTTCCCAACAAATGGCAGCACCTATTTTTCCAATCGGAGTCTCAAACACAGGAATTGTAGATCCATCTCCAAATCCCCAAATGATCCGCTCCAGTGCTGTGGGCATCATTTTTCGGTGCTTTCCCAAGTAGCAACCTTGAGAATCAAAAAACAGAACAGTGCAATAGAGCGTATATCCATCTCTCTCTATCACACCCATTACCAGGAATACCTTGTACTTTCCAGCCATTGCTGCCAATCGATCAACTTCAGGACCTGCATTAGTTAACCAAAAAAGTGAAACTACATATCATACGTTCACAATTCTATTCGTAGACTGCATTTGGGTCAAACAATGACAATTTTAGAACATAGTGTCCGCCTTTGTTTTGATTTAAGATCAAAATATGATAGCATGCCTCAGTAAAGTTATTAACACTTGGTGTAACATGAGATTTGAATTCCATATATTAGGAAAACAATAAGCCAACTGAGATACTTCTAATAAAATTTAGTTGATAAGATCCACTTGCAAAACAGTGGTGTAGAATGTTTCGCTGAGAGCCTGACATGAACCACTAGTGTCCTTTTTTAGCAACCACAATTAACTCATGAAGAGCGGGACAGATATACCCGCACTTCTCATGCCAACCACTGGCATCCTTTTGGCCAAGTAAAAACAGTTAAGATGCTCAGTTCTATTCAATGAACTAATGTTCTTTTTTGAACTTTGACGGATATAAAAAAAAAGAAATAATAGTATAACCAACAAAAAAGAAGAAAAAACAAAAGAAGCCTTTTCCACCTTTTTTTTTTTTTTTTTTTTTTTTTTTATTTGTTGTTGTTGTTGTTGTCGTTTTTGCATCCAAACATTCAACAGAGTCTTCGCCAAAAAACAAATATTCACTAGAATCAATTTCCTCTGGAATCTAACTTTCATTGGAAAAAAATATAGGACGGCAGTTAATTCTTTTCACTATAATAAAGCAACAAAATTATAAGTAATAGCTACTAATTGAATTTGAAGTTTAACGATAAACTGATGCTTAACCATAACCATAGCCATAGCAGTTCATTGCACCACAGGTCCACAGCTTAAATTTTCTTGACTCCAAAAAACAAATAACTTATAGCAACTAATAGACGAATTTGAAGCTTAAACACCGACTGACATTTCAATGCACCGAATGCATTTCAATCCACCACTCAATCAACCTGGGAATTCTAAAGAATTCATTTTATCTCAGTTTCTTACACATGACCAATGCATGAAATCATCAAGAAAGAAAAAAACAAAGTAGTTTTACCAGGCACATCAATGGCAGCAGCATGATACTTTCTGAAGTCTTCTTTACCCTTAGCTGTTCTGTTCCCCATGACAACGCCAAAATTCAACCCACGTGGATAACCACCCACAAATGCTTCAGGAAACACAACCAGCTGGGCACCATATCCTGCTGCTTCAGCCAATAACCTCTCAGCCTTATCTACGCATTCAATCAGAAATCAGATCCACCAAAAATACAAAATATCTTCAATTTACCTAAGAAACATCAATGCAGCAAATTGGGTTAGATCAAAAATCATATCTCAAAAGCTTAATTTCCAATGTAGTCAGGATTCAGGAATGAAAAGATAAATAACAATTGAAACTTATACTTCAGAAATTCTGGCTAGGAATTTATGCATTTTCTTTTCAACAGGTCAACTGGACCAATCACCATATTTGCATCGGTCTTATATATGATTCTCAAACAAAAATATGTTGGGAAATCTACAAGCAACCCCTATGTGGTTTACCCCATTTAACAAATGAATTGTGGTCTGTTAGTCGTTGTGGTCTCCTCGGGTAGTCAAATCTGGTTGGATCGAAAATACATTCCTTTCTTATACCTGAACACGTATCACTGGCAACCTCCAAAAAGAAGTACTTCCTCATCAGTCGTGACCATGCTACTCTTTCTCCCCAAGTTTTCTCCATAACATAGCGCAAACCCCTCTGTCAGAATTCAAGAGCCAAATCATGCAAGGAAAGTATAGAAGTCTAAATTTCTTCTTGTTCCTCTATCAACCCACTCACATTCACACTCTGAAAGTCTGAATGGGGAACCCTCACAAGGAGAAATGTTTTGTCACAATCTCAACGCAATTGGAAATGAAGAAAAACAATCAATGTCTTCAGCTGCCTCTCTACATGTGATACACCAAGTTTTTTTCGAGCTTTATGAGTCGAGTGTAGCTAAAGATGGTATGAGCCTAATATTTTGTTTGAGCCCAGCTCATTTCTTTTACAATTTGAGTTCAAACAAGACGAGTCAATCTCAAACTGTATCGACCCAATTTACAACCTACACTAATTAGCAATATTTCCACAAAACAAGAAGTAAAAAAAATATACAACCACAGCAATTTTGAGATTTTGAGCAGGCAGCACTGGATTTATTTATTTATTTATTTGAACGAATGATATTTTATTCAGTAGGCAGTGGACTAAACCTCACAATAAGCTAGCAATAATGTGGTTCAAAGATGAGAATCCGACTAAGACCTCTCACAAAATCATTAAACAAATTTTACAAGTTGTCAAAGGATTAACAAATTTTACCAGTTACTCGAAATTAATGAGAAGTTGAAACAATAAAATGAAGAAAAAAAAAACCAAAATCCAAAACCCAAAATTGTAAAGTTAAAACCTTTGAATTGGATTGGGGAAAGCAACATAAACATAAACAGTGAGAAGGAAAATGAAGAAGTAAATAAAGAGTTGGGAATAAGGTGAGAGAGAAAGGGGACCTAGAGTGGCAGGGGTGTCGTAGAAGACGGTGGCGGCTTGGACGACGGTGGCGCGGACAGTGGGGGCGGAGTAGTCGGTTCCCATGTCCACCTCCGCGATCAGTGGGGAAGACGAGGGTACCAGAGCCATTTGAATTTAATCTTTCGCGCTTCTTGTGTATTTTCTGTGTGTGTGGCTGAAGAAGGAGGATGACCGATCAATTTGGTACGACGAGAATTTCTGATGAATATGCGTTGACTGAGCGAGGAGCGACGTGACGTGTGAATTGTTGGTGGTGTGGCGGCTATTGCTTTTGGCACGTGATACAGAAATAAAGAATAGATCTCACTTTACTACTCCGATAAATTATTTTAGTTCAATAATGTTATTCTTATCACGTTTTTATACCATTTTATATAGCATCTGATGTGGATAGCTAAATCATTTAAATTAATAAGAATTTAAGTTAAATTAAAAACCTTCAATAAACCAATAATTAAAAAAAAATGGAATTAAATGGTCATTGTGGCATACGAGGAGTCTTCTCCTTCCTTCCTCGTTCAATCCCGTTTCTTCTCCCGTTTCTTCTTCCACGTCAGTTCTTTCACCCCATTTTTTTAGGTCAGTCAAATCCACCACAATCAAAATTAAATCTCATACGGCAAGGTTCATGTGCTCCCCTATTTGGATTATTGGTACACATTTATCATTTTTTTCAATGAACCTTACTGTACACTTGCAGCGGAATTTTCAAACTCGTTCAATTTCGGTCAGATCTGAAACCCGATTTAGGAGATGGAATATCTCCGGTGTCTTGAAACCGACTTTGAATAGCCAGGTACATTGGAAGTTGGACTATGAGAATTCTCGGATGTCTCTGAGCTCTTGTCCTCTACATGCCCCTTCCCCACAGACCACAAATTGTCGAAGATTCTCCTTAACCTAGATGGCAGCAATTGCGCACCACAATCTAAATTAAATCTCATACGGCAATCTCTACTAATTTAGATTGTGGTGGATTTGATTGACTTGAAAAAATGGCATGAAAGAACTAGCGTGGAAGAAGAAATGGGAGAAGAAGCAGGATTGAACGCGGAAGGAAGGAGAAGACTCCTCGTATGCCACAATCACCATTTAATTCTTTTATTTTATTTTATGAAAAAGCGCAAATATATTAAAGAGAAGTCCCCTAATTACATCCAGACCAGTACAATAAAAAAGGAAAGCTTGACTACCAGAAGACGTGATGGACCTATCCCAAACATGGAGGTTTGCGTGCTGAAAACGCACATCCGTGACGGCATCAGCCACAAAATTTGCTTCACGGAAAACATGATTCCATGAGATGTACTTAAACGACCTGGCAATGAGTTTGATGTCCTCAACAATATTCCTTACTCTCCAAGGAACACCACTCGTACCCTAGACCACATCAACAACCAGCTTTGAATCTCCCTCTACCATTATCTTCTTAAGACCTCTACTCTTCACCATCCAAAGTGCATCCCTAAGAGCAATGCACTCCACAACATTTATTGTCACCTCCCCTAAAGATCTGGCTCCAGCCATTACCGGTTCTCCCCGGTCATTCCTTAAGATAAAACCCGTCGCCGCTACAAAGTTCCTGACGGAACTGTCAAAATTCGATTTGAAGAAATTGTCCCTCGGCAGTTGCCATCTAATCAACCCTTCTTGCTTCCTACAAGCTACATAATTTTTCTTATTGACATTATTGTACCCATTTGCCATACTAGTCGCCAAAAAAAACACCATAGAAGGGTAAGCTTTGGCTTTGTTGAAAACTACTTGATTTCTCATCTTCCAAATTTGCCAGCAAATAATAAGAGCATAACTAAGATTTGATAAATTCTCATTATCATTATAATCTAAGGAGTAAAGTCATTCAAGACGACTGCAACTATTCTGATTGACAGGAGGGTGGACTTTTGGGCTAAAATTCCAAACTTGTGGAGCACACTCGTAGTTAATAAAATAGTGATTTTGGTCTTCAAGATCCACATTACATAATAAACAAGTATCACTTATCGTATTAATAAACCTATGAATTTTACTCCTAGTTTGAAGCTTATTTTGGATTAGGATCAAAAGCCAACTAAATATTTTAACTTTATTGGGAATATTAAACTTCCACATTCTTTTTAACAAATTCTTTAAATCATCACTGATCATGGAATTTTGAATCCAAGTTGCAGATTTAACACTGAAGTTTCCATTAGCATTCAAACCCCAACATAATGAATCATTTTTATTATAGAGAGGTAACGGAATACTGCATATTTTCTCAGTGATTTCCTCATCCATCACCTCTCTCAACCACTCTCTATTCGAGGTTCCATTTACAATAAAATGACTTACCTTAAGGTTCAAATCAATATTGCTTAATTGATCCTCCTAGAACAGATTACAGATGGGGAAAGGAAAACCCCAGTTTTGGATCCATAACAGAATGTCCCTTCCATTTCCCACAATTCACCGAGGTTCCATTTTCAATTACTGATCTTGCATTTAAGATTCCTTTCTAGGCCATCGAATGAGTTTACCTTACCTTAGCTTCCATAAAATTCTCCCTTCGTAGGTACTTTTGTTTAAATTATTGAACCCACTAATTTTGGTCATTTGTAAGCACCTTCCAACCAAGTCTAGCAAGGCAAGTATTGTTAAATGAGTTACTTTTCCTAGTACCCTATCCCCCACTACATTTAGGTTGACACACCTTATTCGAAGCAATAGGGTTCATTTTACTATCCTTTCCACAAAGAAATCTCATATTCTCCTTATCAAGCATCTTATTTAGCTTATCTAGATATTTAAAGCACGACATCATGTGATTTGGCATACTGCTAAGATTGGCCTTGATCAAAGTAACTCTACCAGCTCTCGAATGAGTATTTGCTTTCCATCCTGCCAGTTTATTCTTTATCTTTATCATAATATCCTTTGTATTTACAGAGTCTCGCCAGCATATAACGTTGTTTATGCCCAAAAACTTATCGATTGTAATCTTGTGTTGAATTTGAGTAATATTGGCAATCTCACTACGAATTTGGTTAGTTGTATTTTCTGAGAAACAGATAGATGATTTATTAAAGTTGATCTTTTGTCTAAAGGCAGAAGCAAACATGTTTGAAACATTCAAGATGTTTCTAGTTGCCCCTTTTGACGCTTTAGCAAAAATGAGACAATCGTCAGCAAACATTAGATTAGAGACCTTGAACCCTCTAGGTTAAAAGCCCAATGCTAGTTTTAGGAGAGAATGCCACTTGATTAAAATGTCTAATTAACGGTTCCATACACAAAATAAAAATATATGGAGATAGATGATCCCTTTGCTTAATTCCCCCTTGACGGGTAGAAGTAACCATAAGCCTTACCATTAATCAGAACAGACGAAGAAGTAGAGGTAATGCACTCCATAATGAGCTTTATCCAATGATTATTCATCCCAAATTCAACTAGCACCAACCTGATATAATCCCAATTCAACATAACATAGGCTTTCTCAAGGTCTAATTTGATAACAATCGCACCCATTCTCCCTTTCTACGCTTAAAGTTGACAAATCTCATGAGCAATTAGAATATTATCATGTATGGATCTCTTAGGAGCAAAAGCACCCTGATTATTCGAAATGCACTTTTCTATTATTGGCTGAAGTCTATTCACTATCAGCTTTGTTATAATTTTGTACGTCACATTACATAAGCTAAAGGGTCTAAAGTTATTTACTGTTTCTGGATTTTCTACTTTAGGAATTAGCGAAATTTTCGTATGATTAATTAGTTTTAGGCACGAAACCATTCATAAAGAAGTCTTTGACTAACCTTATGATTAAAGGCCCAACACCATCCCAACACTTCTGGTAAAACACAGCATGAAAACCATCCGTTCCCGAGGCCTTCATCATGCCAATGCCATTTACAGCCTTCCAGAGTTCATCATCACTAATTGGATTAAGCAAGGTCAAATTCTAGTCCTCACTGTTACATATATCAATTATGCTAATGAAATTTGAAGTCATATTGTTATTCGAATTCGAATGGCCAGTGAAACGCAGTTTAAAATCCTGCACAAAAATTTGTTCCATTCCTTCCCTTTTTAACCACCAAAAACATGCAGAGTCCTCAATTTTTAATACTTCGTTTCTTTTACGTTTGATGTTTGTCATTGTTTGAAAAAATTTGGTGTTCTTATCCCCCAATTCAAGCCAGTTAACTCTTGCTTTCTGAGCCCAGAGGATTTCCTCATTTTTAAGAACTCTATTTAACTCATTCCTTAACTTTGCCTCTTTGGCTAGCAATTGGACATTATTCGGATCCTCCATATTCTGGGCTTGGATTACTTTCAACTCATCAAATAACACACCTACTCTCTCATGTACGTCACCAAAAACCTCCTTATTCCATCCTTTAATCAAAGTTTTCAGGGCCCCAAGACATCCCCTCAACTTATTGTTGGGGTTACTCTCAACTTCCAAGCACCAAGCTCTTTTAACCACATTAGTAAAATCTGGGTGGTTCAAGCACTTAGCCAAGAATTTAAAGTCCCTTCGCCCAACAATATTACAGTGATTATTAGGGTGGCAATCTAACAGAATAGAGCTGTGGTTCGATCCAAAAATCGGATAATTATGGAGACTAGCGTTTGGACATAAATTCAACCACACTGCATTAGCAAGGGCCCTATCTAGCCTTTCAAAAATTAAATTATTATCTTTGTGTCCATTGGTCCAAGTAAAAGGAACCCCAGAAGCTGGAAGTGAAACAAGACCTCCATTTTTCAAGAACGAAATTCACCATATGTACATTGTGTTTCTATCACCACCCCCCCCCGCCCCACCTTCTCACTAGGGCTTAGAATATTATTAAAGTCTCCAACTAAAATCCTAGGTTGCACATTGGTATTTATACCATGAAGATTCAAAAGATCATCCCACAGTTATGGTTGCAGAAACTTATGTAGAGGAAACTAACACTCGAATTAATAACCTTAACATTGCAGTGGATAAATCTAGGGCAGGATGCAATTACATTAATAATAACAGTTTGGTCATCCCAGAACAGGCCAAGCCCACCAGCTTGCCTTCTGCACAAAACATAGAATTAAACCATTTACAAAAGACATTTTTTGAGAGCTTACCAAGACCAGACCTAGTTTCTAAAACACAAAAGACATCAAGGTTAATTAAACTAGACATAAACTTAAATTGCGCGACAAATTCAGGTCTGCTACACCCCCTGTAATTCCAAACTAAACACTTCATTAGTCAACATCCTCCACCTCGTAGCTAACCCCAACGACATCATTACCACTATTTCTACTCCTCTTCCTACTCCCTATGAATTGAATCTGCTCAACATTCTCTTCTTCAGCCTCTATGAACTCCTCATCTTCCTCTGCAACAGTCTTTCCCTTTAGCTCTCGCCACATTTACCCCATCACCACCTTCAATGTCATCGAAAACCAAAGCACAGTCTGGCCTCTACTTAGCAACTAAATTTGCCTTCGACACCCAAGTTTTGTTGCCTCTCACCACATTGTCATAAGCCCTCTTATCCCTTCTCGCACCACTTCAACCCCTACCAGCATACCTACTTTTCCTAGAAGCCACTGTTGTCCAACCTTCACTAACATTCTCATATGAAACCTAGCTTGGTCTCTCAACTCCAACTCTTCCTCATCCTTAGTGTTCACCTTTTCCCACTATTAGTTGGGAAACACTAGCATAACCCCTCCATGCAGCTCTTGTTTGGTTTCTTCAGAAATTTCAGCTCCTGTTGGATACACCAATGGCTTATCCTCAAACATTATATCCACCAATAGCCACCCATCATTATCCTCAAGGGCAGGGCACTTGTGACCTTCCGATCTCCGCTGCCCATAATAAAAGCATACTTCAAATAACTCTTTATAGCTTAGCAAGACAGGGCAATCTTCCTGATCATTAATAACCATCACCCTTTTTAGCTACAGCCTCAAGTTCACCTCAAGAAACACTCTCACAAAGAGTCCATTCAAACCCGATAGAGAATTCTCCTTTACCCTAATAAAGGTTCCTACAGGTTGCATAATGACCTCTAGAATTTTAGCATCACGATATTGCATCGAAAGTCTAGGGATACGAACCCAGACTCTAAGAGTAGAGGTCGTCTCCATATCACGGAAAAAGGTGGTCCACTTCTCCAAATGGAAAATTTGGCCTTTTACATACCAAGGTCTGTTATCCAAAACATACTCCATCTCCTCTTAATCAGTGAACTCCACATCATACCACTGGTAACCAAAGTGGTCAAGGTAAAAAAGGTTATTGACTTCCGATCCCTCAGTAAGCCCTAACTTCTACTTAATAGTCCTAGCTTCAATCTATTTCCCCTCTAATTTCCCCATGAGCACCCTAGTTTGCATATGCTCTACATTGAGGTTCAAATAGAGGCTAGTTGACACCCTGGTAACTCCACTCTCTAAGGTAAAGGTACCTCTAGAACCCTATACCACCACAAGAGGCTGACCTAAATGAGGAGAGGCGAACCTGTGTTAACATGATGGGAGTATGGGATTGGATGGGATCCTAGCGTGTCTTGAGAACGAGGCTTCAAGTTGGGAAATGATAGTCATTTTGATGCTAAAGGTTAAAGACTAAGGATGCATAAACAAATGACTGGTATGCAAGCTCTTGAGTTGCACTTCATATATAAACATCAAGATAAGAACGATGCATGCATACATTTCCA